TGTGCCTCGCCAGCAGCGCGCCACTTCGGCGGGCGAGTTTCATCCTGGCTAGCCCCCTCCCCGCCCTGAGCTTGCAGAGCGAGTCCTGGGGGTCTCTCCCCGGGCAGGCTGCAGAGCCGCCCTTGCGAGGGGGAAGCCTGCCCCGTGGAGGTGGCCTGGCCCAGCCGGTAGCGGGGGCCTTGTGCGCACGGGATGGCTGGTACTGCACTGGCCTGGCAAGGGCCGCTGGGCTCCGGTTGCGCAGGCCTGACAACATTTTAACCTGCGGGGAGTCCAAGAAAAAAACCAGCATTTTAGCTGCATAAAAATGACAAAATAGCCCCCAATGAAAGCCCGCCACAGAGGACTGCAGCTGGAGGTCAGTGTTCTGCGGGGCGGCCGCTGGCCTGCCTTTGCCACCTAGCACAGGGTGGGTTGTGCGTTTAGACCGTGCCGCTAGAAAGCAAAGGAGCATGTGAGTGAGTGATCCCTTTGCAGTCTGCAGCCCCGGGGTGCATGGAACAGTGTATGAATTGTCTCCCAGTGCTGAGGTCCTGTTCAGGGAACTGGCAACATATTTACATTCACCGATCCGGAGGCTAGAAGGGACCACTCTGATCATAGTCTCACCCCTTGTATAGTAGAGGCCAGAGACCTTCCCCAAACTAACTCCTAGAGCAGAGCTTTTGGGTAGAAATAATTCTAGCTGGATTTCAAAATGGTCAGGGATGGAGAAATTGTCTCCTTTTCAGGGTCTGTTTCTGACTGTGTTTGCACAGCTCTAAGCGAGCCCTTCTCTGGGCTGGGGCAAATAGTAGACTTTCAAATCATGGGTCAAAACATCCTTCTTTAGCATCAAGCCTTGCCATCTTAGGGGGCAACTCGCTGACGTCTCAGATGTAGGATGGTAGCAGCCCTCTGTTTGGTCTACAGTCTTGGTACAATAAGCTCTGTCGATGGTTGGACATTGACTGGAATAACCATTTCAGGGTCAATTATTCCACAGTAGATACTCCAGAATAACTTCCTGGGGCCATAAGAACAGTCGTTTTACTCCAGAATCATTAGCTGGTTTCCAATGGGGAGTAATTATTCCAGAATAAAATCATTTGTATTCTGAAATTAACTCTGAGCTCATTCAGGCTCCCCGAAATTCTCATTAAGAGCTAGAGCTGTAAAAGGGTAACAGGATACCTGGTAAGCACAACCCTTATGCTTACTGGTAGCTGGTTAAGTGGCACCCGGCCTGAGTAGCCCCCTGCCTGTGGTGATCCTTTTAACCAGTTAAATGTGTATTTCAACCGGTTAACCTTTTAAACAGCATTTTACATGCCTGTTACAAGTAGCTTCTCTCGGCACTGTTGCCAACATTTTTGTTTTGAACATATAATTATCTGCACTGCTTCAAATGCTTTTCCTTACAAATGTATTACAGTTCAGTTCTCTAACGGGAAACTGCAGAATTCTGAAAACATGGATTTTACTTTGTACAAAAACAATGACGCTACTAATCCCAGAAAGAAACATCAAAGAATCTTGGTAAGTTTGTCTGTCATTGTACCCGAGTTCTACAGTGATATATCAGGTTCCTGGTTATTGCTAGCTATTTGTTTTGGTGAACCAGGATATTTTTGCCAAGAAGTATTGAAATATATGTAAAGGGGCACTATTTGCTACCCTGCCTCTTAACAAGTCATCTGTTATTTTGAAATATTTTTCAAAATAACAGGCGTACTATTTCGGCATCCCTGTACCCTTGTTCCACGAGGTTTAAGGGATCTCTCGAAATAGCACGTTATTTCAAAATTTGGCACTGTCTATATGCACCAAATTTAAAAATAAACCATTTTGAAATAGAATCAAAATAAGATAACAGTTTGCATAGCGCAAATTGCGTATCTTATTTTGTGTACAGTGCTGTGTAGATGCACCCTAGACGCAAAAAAATTATGTATATTTTTATAAGCTGCTACTGTTTACAAGTATAACACCTAAGATTACAAGAAATTAAAGATGCTGTATGGGTGCAGAATGTATCGAGATACAGTGAATAACACATTTTAGAAGTTGTTAAACCTTTTGCTTCAGGTTTTAAGCTATCAAGAGAGCTCGAATGTGGTGGCAGTTTTGTCTCTCATCTGCTATTTTAGACTTCCTCTAAAGTATTTGGCACTGCCCACATTTGCAGACAGATATTGGACTAGATGAATTTTGGGTCTCATCCAAGTTTGTAAATTCCTGTGATCCTGGCGTGAAGGAAAATCTCTGTATTCGGGTTTTGCCTTTGATACCCCTTTCATAGACAGTTATTCACTGGTTCTTTTGTGTAAGGAGATAGGCATGGAGCCCCATTTTCTCCAGTGGGGCTGTTTAAGATTAGGCTGCTATGGAACCGATTGCAGGAACAGGGCTTTAGTTGGACTGTTGGTTTTGGGCCCCGTCAGTGGGTTTGGCTGGACAGGTGTTTGGTGGGCTCCGCCAGCAGTGGAGAGGAAAACATTAAAAATGTGATTGTTAAGCGTCATAAATTAGGAGAGGGATTTAAGTACGATGTAAGCGGGCATAGTAACTGAAACAGTTTTTAACCATCATAAAAAATAAGTAGATTCCAAATTGGTGAAAGTAGCCAATGACCCCTCCATGTGAATTACAATCAAAACACAACCCCCAACCTTTATCCTGCCCACTTTCTGGTATTTTCTGAGACTCTGTCCACGCCTCGACTTTTATTTCCACTCGCGTGGCGGAGAGGCTGTTCTTAGCAGTAGAAATCAGATTGGCTCCAGGAAAGGTGGGAGCACCAGCTTTTCCATTTACACGGCTGCTTACAAGAGTGGGGCAAGAGGGAGGGAGAAGAGCTTTCAGTGAGCCGGCTGTCTGCCAGGAGGACTAGTCTGCATGCTGACACTTGGAACACCTCCCTTCTCTGCAAAGCTTGTGGTCTGGAGTCTGCAATACCACCAGATGTCAGTGTAACCTTTAGGAACAGGGCTGAGTATCCGAGCGTTGAGGGGTATGAAAGGCAGGTTTGGTTTTGTCAGGGCACTCCAAAGAACCTAACATCAGATAGCTGACTGACAATGTATTTCAAGATTTTGAATGCCACTTACTGTAAGGGCTGATGGGTTCAGTAATGCAGTACACCGCAAGTGTGAATTGCCTCGGTTAAATGCAAAATACCATTGCAATGATCTAGTTAAGGTTAGCAAATTAAACACGGTCATGGATCCTGAAGGTAATACTCATTGTTGCATGTTGCACACACTGTCTCTATTAGGCCATGTGGTTAACAGCACCCCTAATACAAAATAGAGCTAGTCTTTGCTAGCGATGTAAGCAACTAGTCAAATACCTGATAAACATGGCTTATCGGGTAGTTGAGTCAACTAGTTCTCCCCCTCTCCCTCTCCCCGCTGCCTCTGATACAGAGGCAGTGGGAGGAGGAGCTGGTGCTTAAAAGCTGGTTTCCCCTAGCACCATCTCTGCGGGGATGGGTGGCAGTGGAGGCAGAGGTGCAGCAGGAAATGGCATGAGCGGGCTCTGAAGCCGTCCCCTGCTTGTGCTGCTCCAGTTGCTGGGCCTCTGCCTTTGAAATGTAGCAAGAGCCCCGGGCAGCTCTTCCTACATTGGAAAGGCAGAGAGCATCCCGCCCTGCCCCGCCCCTTGGAAAGGCAGAGAGCATCCCGCCCCTTATCGACTAATTGATGGAAATTCCACCCACTACTCAATTAGCTGATTAACTGACATTTAACATCCCTAGTCTTTGCAGACTGGGCAGGTTGAGATGACTGCCGACACCAGGTTGCGTTTTCTGATTTCTCATGTGAACATTTCTAACCTTAACGTTTGCCTTGTTTGGTTTTTGTTATGATTTGAGGTCCCTTGTTGGAAAGTTTTGCTTGTGCTGGCTTTAGTGGAAAGACAAACAAACTAAAAGGCAGAAAAGGAAAAATCTTCCCTGAGTTATTGTGGAGTTGTGCGATTAGCACTACTGAATAGCGTTCACATGTGCAACCACAAAGGAGGTAGAAATTTTGTACTGCAACGTACACGCGTTCTTTATTTCAATAGGCTGTAACCCTATCAACTGTTCAGAGTGGCTGAATCACGCTCGGCGTTCAGGATCAGAGATGAGAAACTGATCGTGCAATGAAGTTTTGAAGTTCAGCCATTCTTGAGTGGAAGCGCACATAAACAAGTCCAGTTTTTCAAGTGGGGTGTGCGCGCATGTGATCGTGTATGCTTGTGTGCATTAGCATTAAATTAAAATCACTGAATTAATTTTACTTGTGCTACCTCCCACTTACTCCCAGGAGCAAACTGGGAGTTGAGACAAACCAGCAATTTTCAGTCCTGGCGGAAAATTTAATTTTTAGGAAGTTATGAACAACTTACATAATGGAAGCTGTATGTAACTTTAAAGCATCTGAGAGAACACCTTAGATTTAATAGCAAGGATGGTTAGTTTTACGCATTTTTAGCCTTAACTAGTTACAGCATTTTTATTACAAACCGTCACTTTCAGGTTTGATTATTGTGGACAAGAGGTGGTAGGTGTGTTTTTCACTCCAAAGTTCACGACCGTGAACGTGCTCAGAAGTTAACCAGAAATACTTTTGGAACGGTGAAAGCAATGACTTCCACAAACATTTCTTACCTTTCCTTTGAGGATGGTGAATGGGGAGGTAGCATTATTCACCAGGCTGGGCTTTCAGTCATAAGGATGGGATAGAGAATAAGACAGAGAGTATCTTACTGCCTCTGTGGAAATCCAGGGCACGCCCGCATCTGGAATACTGCGTACAGATGTGGTCACCTCATCTCAAAAAAGATATAGTGGCACTGGAAAATGTTCAGAAGGGGAGCAACAAAAATGATGAGGGGCGTGGAACAGCGGCCGCTTGAGGAGAGATGGATAAGACTGGGATTTCTCAGCTTGGCAAAAAGAAGATGGGGGATAGGACAGAGGTCTATAAAATCATGACTGGTGTGGAGAAAGCAAACAAGGAAAAGTTATTTACTCCTCCTTATAACACAAGAGCCGAATGAAATGAATAGGCAGCAGGTTTAAAACAAACGTTCGGAACTCCTCGCCAGAGGATGTCGTGAAGGCCAGGACTTTAGCAGGACATCAACGGCTGTGAGCCAGGCTTGGGAGGATGGTGTCCGTAGCCTCTGTCAGAAGCTGGGAAGGGGCCACAGGGGAGTTTCATGTGAGGATTCCCTGTTCTGTTCACTCCCTCTGGGCAGCTGGCATTGGCCTGAGATCCTAGGCTAGATGAGTGTTTGATCTGAGCCTTTATGGCTGTTCTTAGGCAAGAAATGTGTTTGCTTCTAAGACTTTCATTGGGAAACAGACTTTTTAAATAGAATCGATGAGAACGTGTCCCTAAGAACAGACAGGATGAAAATGTCTCGATCAGAGACCTGGTATCGGATACCCAGGGGAAAGGGCACAGTGGTTGGTCAGAAAGTTCAGTGCTGGTGAAGAACGTGCGGCACAAATTTCCCACCACTCACGCGGGTTTTCGTTGTTTTCCAGACTGCGGAGACAGACAGGCTGTCTTATGTGGGGAAAAACTTTGGCGCGGGAGTCCTGAAATGTAACTCGCTGTGCAGGTATGTGGTGTGCACGGGGGGGGGGAAGCTGTTACTCTCGGTGCTTGTTCCCCCTCTCTGCCTTTCCAGAGGTGCTGTCTGCAGGAGTGCGGGGCAGGCTTTCAGAATTGCACAGCTGGTGCTGTGGCTGGGAAGGGAAGGGAAGGGGCCGGTTTTCAAGGGTTCCGCATCTCACGGCGCCCATTGTTGTCAATGAGCGGTGCCAAGAGCTTCTGAAAAATCTGCCCATGCAGGGAGCGTGTTGCTCAGGGTAAGAAGAGTTGGGTAAATAAAAAGGTAAATAAACTCGCCGAGGAGAAACTCTGATACTCACGCTTCAGAGTCGGCAGAATCTGTATATGCTGCATGCCGAGGGTTCCTTGGGCTTGCAGGACAGCAGCTTGATTGTCTCTTTTTTCCATATGGCAGCAGCTTTCAGCCTTTCCAGACGACTGGATCCTTTTCAGGAGTCTGATTTCTCTGGTGTACCCCTGAGTTTCAGCTCCCTTAAAAACTAGTCGCTTACAAAATGAGATACAAATACAAAAGTGTCCCAGTGCACTGTTACTAGAACATTGCTGACTTGCTCATTTTTACCATGTATTTATCCAATACATCAACTGGAATATAAATATTGTGCTTACCTTGCGCTGTACCGTACATAGATAGAGCCCTGCAAATCCACGGATATCTACTTTATATCCCTGGCTCTTTTTTCCAGATATGGATTCAGATACATATTTTGTATCTGGAGCCCTGGAAATCTGCGGCGATCTGCTTTATATCCACGGGTCTCTGCATCTGTGGCTGTGGATATCAACAGCTCATTTTTGAAGATGCAGATACAAATGTATCTGGGTAGGGCTCTGTGCTTAGAGCAGTACAAAGAAGTCATTGTCTGTGTGACATCTTAGTTTTGCTTGATCTGGGAGCTGTAGGTTTGGGATCCTCTGGTTTTGATAGCAGCCTTTGGAATTAGTGGGTCCAGCAAAAGTCAACAGCAAATCATCGTCTCCTGGTGGAACTGCTAAGGGACTGTCTTTGTCCTTTCCTGTAGTGACATTCCCATTCAGATCAAAGGGAGCTTTACATGTATGGAGCCTAAGGGTGGTAAATTTAGATCAATCAACTAATCGAATAGTCAATGGAATTTGCATCAACTATTCGATTTGTCGATAAGGGTGCCTCCACTTTGAAATACGCAAGAGCCCGGCTGTTGCCGCATTTCAAAGGCGGAAGCACCGCCACTTCCCCGCTGTGCGCCTCCTCCCCATGGAGACGGTGTGGGGGAAACCGGCTTTCAAGCCAGCTCTCCCCCAGCACCGGATCTTGCTCCCCCCACTTGCTACCTCTCTCTGACGGAGGCAGCAAGAGGGGAGGGGGAAAGCGACTAGTCAAGTCGACTAGCTGATAAGCATTTGCATATCGAATAGTCGACTAGTCGCTTCATGGAGCCAGGATGGAGAAGAATCCCTAAGAGACACTGTCAGGTCAAACTTGAGCAGCCTGAATTTAGGTTTTGTTCTGTATGTAAATGGGGGAGAGAAGAAAACCAGTCTTGCACGTGACTTCAGGCAGTAGCCCTAATAGTCCAAAAAGATTTGTTTCCACAGGAACTGAATAATAAAATCATAAGGCAAAAGCTTACTCAGATGCTTATCGGTGAGGAATCCTGTTGAAATCAGCCGGTCATTGGCTGTCTAGGGTCCTTAGGCAGCAGTGAAAATCCTGCCTTAGATGTGAAATGAGGAGCAGCCCTAGAATGGGAGTTCTCTTCTTCTGGCTACACTGACTCAAAGGCAGGTGCAGCTAAAACATTTGCCTGGGGTGCTCTCAGCTCAAACTTAGCAGCTAGTTGTGTCTCGGATTTAAAGACAAGTTTGTTTTTAATATACAGCCGCTCCCCGAGTTACAACCACCTCCACTTACGACCATCGGCACTTACGACCAAAGTGGTCGTAAATGCAGATCAGAGTTACGAACGGCGATCTGCACTTACGAACAGCGCGGTCACCATGTAACTCTATGGGATCCGAGTCACGAACACTTCGAGTTACAGGCCAAGTTAGTCCGTAACTTGTTCATAACTCAGGGAGCGGCTGCACAGCCTACATTTTGGGGTCAGCTTTGGCTTGCTGGGTCTCTTAAATGTAATATATATAAGGGGGCGGGTGAAAAAGGAGAATTTCGGAAACGTCTGTCAAGTCTGAGTCCTGGTCACATCTGCTCTGGTAACAAGAGTTGCACTGAGGTACTTTTGCCGAGGCTGTGCCCCATAGCAATTAAAATACGGATGGGGGAATGGGGGTGGGCAGGGAACACAAGGGCTCAGCGTCCGTTTTGGCTGATGTGAGAGTGTCGCAGCAGACGGAGCTGCTAAGCTTTAGTCGGCGGATGTGCTGGGGCTCTAAAGGAGTCGGTTACAAGCAAGCCCGTTTCTGCTAGTCACCGTTGGGTTAAGAAGTCCAAGAGTGGCCGTAGCAGGAAACCCAGGACTAAAACAGTATAGAAGGTGAAAGAGTGATTTCAAGCTGCTCATGTACATGTTGAACCTCTCCAGGCCGGCAACATGCATGGTCCGGCAAGATTTTAGTGAGCTGGATGTCCACATATGGGTGAAACGGTGACTTTCATTTTGACAGAACTTCATTTACAACCGCGTCACTGCAACAAGACTCGAGGGGCGGTTTTACGCTTATGTCTGGAGAACGAAATTGAGACCCACTTAGTGAACATCTGTGCTACGGCTCTCAATGATATGCAATTTCATACTAACTTAGCGCTCGATCTCTGAAGGCTCATATCGTTGGGCATGATTAAGAGACCGTTTTAATGATGTGATCAGTTCTTGGAACAGCTGCTCTAGAGCCCTAGATATGTGCCTGGCCAATTCTTGAAGCTGGAGGGGTGGAAAGGCAGGTGAGCACAGCCGGCCTATCCGAGTGGCACCTCTCTTTCTTTCTGAACTTCCTGGGCTTTCCTTTGGTTGGAAGCGTCAGACCGCTCCATTTTGGTTTCCTTTCCTCCCCGTTCAGCTTAGCTGCCTGTGTGACTCAATCTTTTTGTCTAGCTGAAGGAGCCAGCAATGGGGTTGCCTTTCTCCCCGTTGCACTGCCTCCATAAAGCATGTCGTTTTCCAGGCCTCTGGCCAATGTAGCTATGCTGGTGCTGGTTTTAAGTGTAGCCCAAACCGTAAATTGAAGGGGTTAACGGCCACGTGGGAGCGGAGCTTTGAAAAGAGCCAGCGAGCTACCCAAGAGGTGTCCACACTCGGCAGAGTGCTCCCAGCAAGCGGGGAGTTGCCTGAGGGCCAAGACAGAGGTTGAAATGTCCGTGATTCTGCGGAACTCACTTGACTGTGAAATTCTAATTGTTATGATGGAGGGAAAAAAAAGGGGGGGGGTCTGTGCTGGGTAGGGGAGGGAGGAGAAGGGACATGCACAGCATCTTGCTACCGTGTTTCACGTACAGTCATCTCCGGTTCCCCCCCTCTCTGCGCTCTCCACAGGTTCTTTGTCGGGGTGCTGGACAAGGACTCCAGGCAAATGGAAGTCTACAACGCTGAGTTATTCAACATGCAGCCGCTGCTGTCCGGTAGGTGGAGCCCTGCCACCAGCACTACCCCACAGTACGCCGGTTCAGTGTGCGTTTCACGCCGGCCCCTGCTGACAGTCTGGCTACAGCCCACGAGCATCTTTTGCTTCCCTAGCCCAGCGTCATGGCGACGCTTGCTGGCCCCCAGCGCCCGTCTGGAAGGGAAAGGGCACAGGCCGCTGCTCGGTGGGTTTTCTGGCGCTTTAGGAGAGAGTGCTCAGTGTAGAAGCCAGTAAGAGGCAGAGCTGTAGCTAAGAGGTGAGATTGAGGAAGAAAGGGGGGAAAGGTTCAAGTGAATCAGTGTGGAAGGTGGAAAACGCTGAAGTTAATCCCAACTAGGGATGTACAATCCTGTGTAATTGGCTAAGCGGTTAAACGTGATGGTTAACCAATTCACTGATGAAAGGGGAGTGAGCAGGGGGCTGGAGTAGCCCCCCAGCCGAAGGCAGGGGCTGCTCCAGTCCCCACCGGTTAACTGGAACCAGTACGCATTCCCCGTTAACCTTTCCCGTCGCTAATCCCAACCAGTAGTTTCAGGTCGTGATCAGGTCACATCTCTGCTTGGGAGAAGGCTGGACCTGAACGGGCCTGGAGACTGAGTTTGCACTTTCTAGGAAATGAAATAATCCCTGGACAGCAGGGTTCTTGAGCAGGGCCGCGCTGGTTCCCATGAGACTCGAGGAAAATATTCAGCCCCCTCTGTGCATTGCTCCCTCGGGTGCTAGCTGACCCTGCTGTTGGGGATACCCAGGACACACCCCTGTGACGTGTCAAACCAACGTATGAACTCGCATGTAGGAATGGGAGTGCCTGGCCTCCCCCGAAATGCTGTCGAGCACGTCAGGGCATCCTCCTTGAAATCAGCCTGCAAAGCCGTAGGCCAGGCCCTGGCATGATGCGCACGAAGACCTGCATGTCACTGACAGCCTATCCATACATCTCAGTGTACGCCTCTCTTCTTGTAGATGATTTAAGAGAGGAGGACCCCTCGGATAATCAACCCAAATCCTACAGAGAGAAGGTAAAAGTTTCATCAGTTTCTGATAATCCCCTGCCTCACCACAGTGGCCGATGTTAGCCTAGAAATGATTTGGGCGCTGTTGCCATTAATGGGTGTAGTTTGTCGTTTTCGGCCTGCGTGGGAGCCGATTACCAGCAGTATTTTTATCACTGGCGTAGCGGGGGTGGTTCTGGGAACAGGTTCCTGGTTACTCAGATGCTGGGCGGTAGCTAGTGATTGGAGTTCCTCTAGAGTGTGTTTACAAAGGACAAGTTTGAAGGGAGTTGTTCTGTGCCAGGGTTACCTGCCTAGGGGGGAAGCGGTCGACGTGATGTTTCTTGGTTGGTTTTTTGTAAGGCTTTTGGTAGAGTCCCGGAGGATAATCCTGTAAGAGAAAGGAGGAATGGAGAAGAGGACTAGAAGGGGAGGTCGCACAACTTGAAAGATCCTATTCCGTGAGAAGTTATTCATGGTCCGCTGCCAAACTGAGTGGCTGTGTGTAGTGGGCTCCAGTCGTGGACTTGGCTAATGGAGTGGAGAACGTGCGGATAACGTTTTCAGATGGTCCCATGCTGTGGGGGGGCGGGGACCCTGGAAGACTGGGTTAGATTGCAAAAGGACTGTGACAGTTGGGAGAAGTGGTCAGAACTCCTAAGGAGGGATTTCACTGAGGAAGGCAAACAAGGGCAGAGCTACAGAATGGGGGTGGTCGTGCGGCTCCCAAGGCGTGGGGCTAAGGCGGATCCCCAAATGACTGAGTCAGCAAAGCGGTGAACTAGCCGGTGTTCCGGGCTGTGTTAACAGGCGTTTCATAGGGAACACTCGGGCGTGATTTGTCCCGCTCGGTTCAGCGCTGGTCAGGCCTCACCTGGAGCACAGTGGCCAGTGCTGGGCAGATGTGGACACATTGGGGAGCGTCCAGAGAGTGCAACACAAGATTTAGCAAACCTGACTTTTAGGAAAGGTTAAACCGTTTATCCCCAAGATAAGCCGCCGAGGGGAGGGGAGGGGAGGGGAGGGACCGGACGGCTGGGATGGAATGTTCTCCTTGCCCACGGACGGTTGGACAAGAAGTCGTGGGGTTTAGGAGACTTAGGTTCCAGGGAAACCTTTCTACCTCTCAGGCTAGTTCAGCTCTGGGGCCGGTTTCCGTGGGAAGCTGTAACTGGAAATTAAGCGCGGGGCAGACATGCCTGTATTCATTCCTGTCGGTCAGTAGCGTCCCCGTCGGTGTGCCTGGTCCGGGCCCTGTGGTCGGAGCCGCGCAGGCAGACCCCATGGTCAGCGTGGGGGCTGTTAATCGGCGCCGCTCCCCAGCACGGCGCCTCCAGCTGGGCGCTCTGGGAACTAGCTCAGCTCCACACCCGCGCGCCTCTTCTGGCTGGAGTGGCGCCTGCTGCTCCCTGTCAACAGCTCCGCCACCTCGCGTTGAGGCCCGCCTCCCTGCCCTTCTCTCCGGGTACTGCCCCCCACTCTGGGGTCCTCCCCTCAGGAAACCCCCAGCCCTCTACACCCACCTGGTCTCAGTGACCCATGGCCAGTCTTCATCTAGCCCCTGCCTGCAAATGGCAGTCTGGAATGGCCACTCCTCGTAGGCGAGGGGGGTGGACCTGCTGCCTCCCTGCACCCTAGTATCCCCAGGCCTGCCTCGCTGGGCCTCAGCTCCCCTGGCTCACCTTTCCTTCCCCAGCCTTGCTCTGTCCATGGTACCTCAGGCAGCTCCGTCCTCCTCCCTCCAGGGCTGGAGTGAGAGTGTGCTCAGCCCTGCCAGCCATCTCTTTTATGCAGCCCTCCCGGGCTCTGATTGGCTGCCTCAAATCCTCTCGTGATTGGCCCCTAGCTACCGCCCACTCCCAGGGCCGTTTTAACCCTTTTTTGGCCTGGAGCGGGGTGACCGCCCTGCAGCAGGTCCCCCTGAGATCAGCGCACTCCCGCAGCTGTGCCCGTGCGATTCTTTCGTGGGACAGTGGCCTTAGTGGGCAGCTCAGCATGCAGACTCACTCGCCTCTGGTCCGGGAGTGGGCCGCCACGGAGAGGCTGTTCCTTGTCAGCGGGTCTGGCCCCGCAGGCCTGGGGAACGTTCCCCGCCCCGTGCCAGGCAGACTCCGGCGGCAGCCCTCCTGGTCCGGGTGCGTCGCCTGCCGCTTCCCTCCGCGCCCGGCGCAGTGACTGGCCCAGCTTCTCATGCAGGTGGATTCGTGCATCGCAGCCTTCGGCACCAGCAAGCAGAAGCGGGCCCTGAGCTCGCGAAGGATGAACGAAGTTGGCAGCGAGACCTTAAACGTGGCCGTGACAAAAGCCGCAGCAAACATCATCGCGGCCAAAGGGGTCGCTGGTAAGCCGGGCCGGGATGGAGGAGAGCGCCCCCACGCCTCCCGCTTGGGGGCTTGCTGGGCCCTCGCCGCTGCTCCTCCGTGCGTATTCAGAGCGCCCCTGCTCTCAAGGGCTGGGGAGGGAGCAGCGGATTTGCCCCGAGTGTTAAATGGAGCGGAGTGATGGACTCTAGTGCGGGCTGGACCTCCCTGGCCCGCACCCTCCGGACTTGACCGGTCCTGAAGGAGGGAATTTGCCAGACCAGGGGAGGCCCCCTGCCACCAGCTCGCTGCCCCTCAATGCTCCCCCCTCCTCTACTTCCCAGCTGGCCCTCCTGCCTCCGCTGCCCCCAGCCGGGCTGCATGGGCTCTGGTCCCGGCCCCGGCCCCGCACCACTGTGCCTCTAGACTCCCTGGGCGCCCTGGTCCAGGAACGGTGGGGCCCTGCCAGACCGGAGATCAAAGCGTCTCATTCTGATCACGCTGCTTATGAAGTGGGGAATCGGGAATTCCTCCCCTGGCCCATTGGCGCTGTCTGGGAGCAGAGCAGCGGGTCTGGAGAGTGATCCTCCCCACCGCACGTGCTTAGCCTCCAGAACCTGTCAGGCCTGCCCCCGGAAAGACTGATCGCCCATCTGGCTGGCGCAGCGACCCGCAGGGCACAAAGCTTTAAAACCAACCGGCTGCGTCACCGGGCCGGTCCTGCGGGTCTGGGCTGCCAAGGAGCGTTCCCAGTTCCCCCCGGAATTGCCGCGGGCTAGACTGGCGTCCCCACGGGTCTGGGCTCCGTTCCCATGAGCGTCGTCTCACACCCTCGCTCGTCGGCTTGCTCCGAAAGCTTTGCTCAGCGACGCGGCGCAGGACGACTTGCAGGATGTCTCCCTCGTCCTGCCTCCCTGCCACGAAGAGGCTGACAAAGCAGAGGATGTCTACAGGTTTGAGGACAGTATCCTTGGCGGCCCTTTCCCCGGCAGGGAACACCGAGCGGCAGAAGGGCTCGGACTCGGGGGAGCGGGGAAGCGGGATGTCCTTTGGGAGGGGTCTTTTCTATTCACGAACACGGAGCTGGGGGCCGAGGGTTGAGAGCAGGCCTTGGGGCTGCGGGCGGGGCAGCGTCTTCCAGAGACGCCGGGTTTTGTGCCTTCCCTGGGCGAATGGGAAGTAGGTGTCAGCCGGGAGGGATACGGAGGGTATTACGGGGAGCAGAGGCTAGTTTGGACAGCTGACCCAAGCCCGAAATCAGAAGTGACAGGGGCATTGACCCTGGCTGCTTCCTGTCCCTGGGATTGCGCTGCCTGCCTGCAGTCCACGTCCACGCGCAGAGTCCCTCAGGCTGGCGGCGCCGGCTGGGGCAGTAACACTCTGGAGGAAGTGATTCCTTTGTGCTGTGTAAATCCACATGGCCTGCCTACCGGACAGGGCGGCTGTGCAGCTGAATGGACCCCCAGCGTTCGGTCGTGTTCCTTAAAACCCCACCAGTCCTCTCCCCGGCCGAATACGAGGCGCTGCAGAGCCCCGCGGCCGCGCTCCTGAGCCTCTCTCCGGAGGAGCTCCTCCAGAAGGCGGAAGAGGTGAGGTGAGGTGCGGGGCATAGGGGGCGCTGTGGTGCTCGTCGGGAAGGGAGGTGAGACCGTACGGCGCTCCCGGTTGTGGGACCTAGGCGAAGCCTGGCGCGAGCTGGGAATCCGCCGGTCCACCCCCCCGCTGTGCTTCTGATTTTTAGTGTAGTAGCCAGGGGTGCGTCACCCCGCGTGGCCGTAGAGGGGAGACGTAGGTACCTTTCTGGAGGGTAGGCCCACCAGGGTCGGCTGTCACTCCGGTAACTGCCCAGGTCTCGTTGCTCCCTCTGCAGCCCCGGGCCGGCCTCTCAGACGACAGGCCGCTGCTCTGGCCCAGCACGGCCGCTCTGAGTTCTTACCGCCGGTTTCCTGCATGGCCGGTTCATCTTTGTTCCAAAAAGGCTCGGTCGTTCCTTAAACCAGCGCGTCCTGTGATGTCACCATGGCCTGTAACCCCGCCTCCAGAGGGGCGGGCCCTGCGTTGCTGCGCTCGCCTCGTGCCAAGCTGGGACTCGCCCCCGCGGGAGGAGCTGAAAGCGAGGAACCCGCCGGGGGGACTGCAGTGTGGGGGGCGCGTGGGGGTGTGCGGAACGTGTCACCGGGGGGCCGAGGAAGCAGCCACAGGGCGAAGGCGTCTGCACGCGGGGGG